GCTTCTTCCATTTGCTGCTGCAGAGCCACTGGATACACTAGCCACTGGTTTCTCCAATAAACTGTGGCCATGAGTGCATTACCACCTTGTAGGGTGTAGGATCAAGAAGCTACTCAAAGGACCATGGTTTGTAACCAGAATTATAATCTCAATACGATGAACTGGTATATGATTGAGAAACAGTAGGCTTGTGTCAAGGGGAGGCTGGACAAATGCATCCCCTCTCCACCTCTTGCCTTATACAGACTGTGGTGAGGGAGCTTCTCCATCCATCCTGCCTACAGGTGTCCTGCTCCGTGATGCCTCACAAGCTAAATCTCCCTGTGGCTCCCTGCACAGCATGTAGGAATAGTAAACAGATAAGTGCCAGTATGTCTGGAGAGGGAAGCCACCCTCATTTTCAGATACTTGGAAAGATGTTGGATTTCTTCAATTTCTCCCCCACTTTCCGACATGAACCTGCAAATCTGGAAGAAAGAATGCTGACTTCCATCCCATGCTTTGAGATAAGGCTAAGAATGAACCTTAGGAGAGGGGCCTTGGTACCCCACCAGAATCATACCAAAGTGTGAAGGGGTGATATCATCTGTGTTTTGGAGGTAGTAAGCTTAAGGGTGAGTAGAGTTACTCTGAGGGAATTGCCCAGAAGAAGACCTGGACTTGGAGTCAAATCAACCTGGAGTCTAGATAGGCACTGCTGATTTTAGCCATGTGGCCTTGAACAGCTCCCTGAACTAGAAAGTGAGGGTCAAGTGAATTGATATTTTGGGGTCTGTCATGGTTTATATCTGGAATGTTCCACACAGACTCTTGGTTTGAATGATCGGCTACCGGTTTGTGGTACTGCTTTGAAGGCTAGGGAGCCTTCAGGAGGTGGAGTCTGAGTGGTAGAAGAGGTCACTAGGTGAAGGTTACCTGCTTCTGGATGGCTACAATGAGAACAGCTTTAGCCGATACTCCCAGGCCATGCTTTCCCTGTGGCCATGCTTTCCCCACCATAGTGAACTGAAATCCCCCTGAAGCCCTAGCCAAAAAACGAGCCTTTCTCTCTTTAGTTGCTTCCAAAGCTATCTTGGTTATGTTTGTGCCCCACCCCCAAGCATACCATCTACCATCCACCATCCTTTCCTGTGGGAACCCCCTTCTGGGCATTACTAGCTGGGTTTGGACATTCCTGGCTTATAATCAGGGGCCATCTGGTGGCCTAAAATGTGTTGTACCAAGTATGACTCCCCTACTCTTTCTTACCTATCATGGTGTCTCATAAGTACTGTTGAGGATGATAACCTACAAGCCTAGGATGTTATATTAGCATCTGGAACCAGGCTGAGGTCCAATGTAAAAGTGAATTAACAGGTGGGTATGCCTCTGGCTTGGTGACAAGGGCATATAGCACAACACCACCCCCCAGTTCTGAAGTGGTTTGAAGGTGTTTCTCTAAAACTCACACATTGGAAACCAAATCTTCAACCCTTGTGTTGATGGTATGGGGAGGTCAGACCCTTGGGGGTCATTAAAGTTAGATGAGGTCATAAGAGTGGGGGCCCCACTGAGCATTGGTGGCTCGATAAGAAGAGCCACCCAACCTAGCACTTGTCTGCCTTATCATGTGACTCTCCCTACTCCCATGGTGCAGTGGAAGTGTCTTCGTGGATCCCAAGCAGATGGCAGCCCTTTTCTCCTGGACTTCCCTGCAAGCAGAATTGGTGGTGGTAGAGAAACAAGGGTGCTGAGTTTTCACACCAGTTTGAGTGACACCCTGGTGTCTACCTTGTAGGGTTGATGTGAAGTGAGGTTTTAAGAAGAGGACATAGATCTGAGTATCTGGCCAAAGACAAGTTGCCCTTGTGTCTACTTGCATGGTTGTGCATATTCGTGTGTAGCCATAGCATCTGGAATTCTGGCAAAGAGCTAAACCCATTTCCCGCCTAGTGACAGTCCACACATGTGATTTAGCACTTGAGTGCTGTGTGAACAGGGATCCATGGGTTTCCGTTTTTGTTCTGTTTTATAGGAAAAGAAACAGGTTGATGGTCCCTTTCAGACCCAGTAAGGAAATTCACCGATATTGGTAATTTTATGAAGGCAGAACTCAGGGATGTTATTATTACAGCAGCCTGTTGAGGAGCAGGGAAGTGATTGGAGGAAGAATTTTCAGAGATACGGCTGTAAAAACAGGCTCTCAGTGTGTGCTGCACAGGGCTCCCTGGTGAGGAGCGATAGGATCTGCAGGTCTACTACAGTGTCGTGTAGTTACAGGGAATGGGGGACTGTTTTCAGTTGCTTGTTGATATACTCTCCCTAGTTGTACTGGAAGTGCTTCTGTTTGAAGGTTAAACACTAGGATTCCATTAGTTCACGCTGGTAGGAAAAAACAAACCCAGAGAGTTCAAGTGTAGAACTTAGAGAGAGATTGTAACAGAAGGGACAAGGACCACATGATGCCAACATCTACATGGGAAGCCATGAGGATAGGATATCACCCTTCAGCACCTCTAGCGGCCTCTGCTCATGCTTTGACAGGGATTTTAGAAGGTGGGTCCAGAGGCATTTTGATCTCTGTGACTTCAGGAATCCAAAACTATCTGACACAGCCCAAATGCCCACAGCCACAGCAGAGCAGAAATAGGAAGCTAGAGCAGATGGTGGGTCTGAGACTTGGAGACAGGGCATAGACACCACCTAGGAGAGACTGCATAGACACAGGTCACCAGGACTCAGGACATCCTGGGCACTAAAGAGTGCTGGAGTATTAGGTAGTAAGGAAGGTTCTAGTTTCCCATCCAGGTGCTAGATCCAGGTGCATTTTTTGGTCTTGCATTACTTCTGCATGTGTCTCAGTTTCTCCATCTGGGTAATAGTCCTACCCACCTTTTAGGATTAGCTAGATACTAAACTCTAGGAAATAACTTTTTATAGTCATTCTCATTCTATCTTATCCTTCATTGTACCCCAGGGACTTATCATCTAAGAAATGGCCATCCACCCCTAGTTCTGAACCCTACGTTGCCATTCACTTGACATTCACAAGGGCACAACCTTATGCTCAGGCCCCTCTCTACACAGCTCTGCTCTCTGAGGCAGTAGAGGTTGGAATGGTTCTCATCTCCCTTGCTCCTCTTCCTTGGGTCTCATCTGAGAAATCTGACCATGGTTGTCCTCATGCTTTCACTTGCAGATGTCCCTCTGAGAAAGCCACAACTTCTGACCTGATATAACTTGGAGGCTGGCTCATGAACCTACCAGCCCTCGAACCTTTCCTTTCCAACACTGCTTAGAAGCTTCATTAGAGTGATAGGTTAGGTAGCTGAGCCATCTCTGTGTAGAGATGGAGGAAGAAGGTATGAAAGTCTCTACTGCCAGGCTGTAAGAGAGAAGTTCTTGGTTTTCTCAGCATCCTGATGCCCCAGGATTTGGCCCCAAAGAAACCAAGAGTCTTATAGATTCTTGAGGTCTCCTGAGCCAGGAGGGAAAACATGAGCCTTCCATACTGCTGTAGTCCCCTGGGAACCACCTACCCAGTGCTCCAGGAACAGACTTATACAACAAGGTTTATTTGAGTCATGAGACTATTTTTAATGTCAGTAAGAAAGAGCAACATTTTGGAGGTGATTGACTAGAAGGGGGCCTTATTAAAACATGTGAAGTACAAAAATGTTAACTGGAAATAGAATATTTAAAGGTGTTCCAGTTCTTTTATGTGCTGAAATCTAGGAATGAAACAAAACACAGCTCCTTTTAGCTGTGAACCTGAGTTATGACGTGTATGCCTTGGATGCTGGGGAGAGCGTCCATCAGGTACTTGCTGGCTCCTTAAGGTTCATGAATCCATGGTGGGGCTTCTTTGTCCACTGAGTCATTCATCACCCTGGTGATGGCCTCAGGAGACACAAGCTTGTTGTTACCTGGGTTCTGGGGCTCCACCGGGATCCTGTCTCTTTTAAAGCTTTGTCCCCTCGTGTAACTCCAGTGTCACGATGCACATGCCTCTTCCTGGAGCTCCCATGCATCTTTGCTTGGCAGCATCTCACAGGTCTGTGGACGTGAAGTCTGGGAGCGGCTTGCTTTCTTCACTTGACTTGCTGGCCAGCTTTGTGGAAGGGCACACAAACACAGCGGCAAGATGGATCCTTTTAGGCATCATGTTGGAGCACCCCAGACCCCACAACCATGACATACGCATAAACACAAGTGATTACACATCACTATGTGACCTCGAATTTGGTCAGGAAGTAGATTTGGGAAAGTTTCATAGACCCCTTTCTGGCTGTGTGAACTCTGCACATCACTTAGCTGACTCCGTGAGCCTTGCAAAGCCCTTCTGGAACAGGGGAGGATCAAACAGGATAATGATGGTGAAGTGCTTAGCATGGTGCCTGACTCACTCACGCAGGCTCTCAGGAAACCTGTGATTTTTATAGTATCTCTGCTCTGAATCATAGTACCCGGAGGATCGGAAGTACGTTCATCCCTATTTGATCCCAGACAAGGATTGACAGGGTAACAACAGGAGATAGGACTTCAAGAGTGAGTAATTCAAAACCAAGTTTTAATTTGAAGACTTTTGTAATGTAAGTAGAATGAGAAAATGCTCCCATCCCCAAAAAAGTACTTTTGGCTTTTAAAGAGAGATAGCTGGCCGTTGGGGCTCAGAGAGGAACTCCAACAGAGAGTTTAAGTCAGGGCTAGCTGTCTCCTGGTGGTCCCAGAACATGGATTAGTCCTGCTCATGGGAGCTACTTGGAGTCCCAAGGAGCACTGCATGGTGGGCATTGCTGGACAGTTGGGTTAGCCTTAGGATCCCTGGCCATACCCCCCAACCCCATGCCAGGGAATGGCCAAAGGCACATATGCATAGGCAAAGAGTATACACCGGTATAGACCCTACTCATTTTCCCCTTCAGTTCTCTCCCTGTGTTCCCTCAGCATCCCCTTCTCTTTCTAGCCAATGGAATTCTCACCATCGTCTTGAAGAACTGATTGACTTTCTTCTTTTTCAGGGTCTTCTTGTCACCGTCTGAGATATGGAAGAAGTTCTGACTCAGCCGGGGAGATGTGTTGGCTTCATCCAACCCAGGCACGCCTGCCACTGAGAGTGTGAGGGCTGCAAAGACAGGAGGAATCCTAGACATGAGTGAGTGCGTGTGGGAGAGGCCGGTCCCGAGGGGCAGGATGAGCATCTAAGGCCGCTCATTGGGTGGTCCAGTTTCCTGGCCCTTTGAAAAGCTTTGTCCATAGGTGTCTAAATGGGAAGAGGGATGAGAAGGGGGGGAGATCCCTTGCCACTTAGACTGGTATCTTCAGGTAACACATGACTGAGTCTGGACTTAGCCTCCCACTGACCAGTTGGTCTGTACAGGACCTGGCATTCAGCGCATTGGTTTGAATGTGCAACAGCAGGGAGGGTCTGGCAGTGGGAGCTGATGCTTTACTGTCATGCACTGTTCAGCCCCAAGGGGGCAGCACTGGCTCTGCTTTTTTCTACTCTGCCCAGTCCTCAGCACAGAGTCTGCCAGGAGCAGCAGATACTAGAGCTAGTTGCATAGATGCTGAGCCCAGCTGTACATGGACCCCCCCCCCCCCGGTGAATGGGAAAGTGAATGGGGGCTGTCCCTTACTACTGAACAGTAAGAGACAGGCACAGGTGTCATGTATACACTGAACAGTCCTTCCATGCTGTGGAAGGTTTGTAAATCTAGAAGTAGTCTTCCAGGTTAGCCGAGGTGCCATGGGCCTTAGAGATTCGCCAAAGGCACGCTCCTGGGGCTGGAGGGGCTGCTGCCTGCAAACTGAGGGACTCTTCATAGAGAGTGGTCCTAGAAGGACAGCAGACTTCCCCTTCTGAGAGAGTGCTTCCTGGTCCTGGATACCCAGCCTGCCTTGCTCTGCAGAAGTAGTTTTCATCTGTCTTCTCCCTGACGGTTTGGCAACCCATACTACCTTCTCCCCCATGTTAGCAGTGGCAAATACATACCTGGGATGGTGGGCATGGACTGGCTGGCAAAACTCATCTGAGAGAGGACAGACACCCTGGTGGGGACGGCCGCGTGCTCCGAGAGATTGGTGTCGCTCATGAACTCGTGCTTTCTGGAAAGCTGGATGGATATACCACACACCACAGATCACTAGGGCTTAGTATGGCAAATGTGAGTCCTCAAAGGTCAGGGGAAAGTGCTTGGAAAGATTTCTGCAGACCTGGCAGCATAGACAGCTCATCTGTTCTGTTTTACACCATTCTGTGCCAGTCTGCTTTTTACAGTTATATATTTTATAATGCCAGGAATGTTCAGTTAGACTATTGGGGGATGGTGTTCTGTAGGATCCTGGAGCATAGAAGACTTGCCCATTCTCGTCCTTCAGAGGCCCACTAGGAAGTTTATGGGGGTATCTTTCTTCACCAGAAGGCATCAGCTGACCCTGCCCTTTCATCCAGAGCTACCCCACGGTCCCCGCATGCCATAATGACTAATGCTTACTCCCTTACAGTTTCCCAGCATGCTTTCAATAAACCTTTCCAGAGGGAAGCTATCATTGAACTCAGGGTTGTCCAATACCAAATCTCTTCATTAGTAATTAATGTTGGATTTCTCATTGAGATAAAGGCTTACTCTGTAGATGAAGCTTCCCTGGAACTCACTATGACTGCCCTCAGCCACCCAAACATTGATCATATAATTTTTCTCTATATAATTATGTGTACTATTAATACATAAGACCCAAAATGCTCAGAGTCTGCTCATCATACCCTACAAAGCCTGGCACTCAGAAACATAGTGAGGTCAGGACAGAGGGGTGAGGGCCCAGGTGGCTGTTTTCCTCTGCAGTGGACATTCAGGTTCTAGAGTCTAAAGGCTTGGGTTCAAATCCTGCCTGAGGAGCACGAGTATTTGCTCTACCTCCTATTGGACAGTGTCCTTCCTCTAAGACCCACTGCAGTGAGGGAGCCAGGCTGCAGTCCACCCTCTCAGGAGCCCGGGCTGCCTGAACCGTGCCGTGTGGAGAGCTGAGGGGAAACCGGCACCTCTGCTTACCCGCTTCAGTTCTGATTCAGTTGCTGTCTTCTCATCTGCAAACACCACACTGCTTCTCTTGCTCCTTTTCTTGGACCGCCGCAGCTTGACCTCTGGCAGGGTGCTCCCCGGAGAGATGGGTTCCTCCTCCACTTTGGGAGTCTTGGGTGCTGCTGACTCTAGGTCGAAGCTGAAGGGCATGGAGAGGAGATGTGGAAACTGTGGTTAGAGCTTCAGTGAACAGCCCAGTAGGGGCACAGGGGGTCTAAGAAGACCTTCATGCTGACTGAGCTATCACTATAGGGCTGATCAGATGCCTTGATAGCAAATTGAGGAAGTCACTCATCCACAAACATCCAAAATAAAGATCAGAATGATTGATGGCGCTAAGTCATTAAAAGCAAAAGGGATGACAAGGAGATGAAAATGGTTAAAATGTCCATCTAGGTTCAAATCTAGGCACTGCTGTTTTTTAGCTGAATGACTTCAGGGAAATTCTTTGACTTTTTGAACCACAACTTGCTCAGTAAGTAGGGTTGTACAACAACCTGAACAGTGGTCATTTGGTGTCTAGCATGCAGACTGTGAAGATGGGTAGGGGAAGAGCCACAGGGTCCCAGGACAAAAGGGGGATGAGGCAGGAGATGTGGCAGGGGACATGCTGTTATGGGAATGATGGGACCCCTGTTAGAGGAAAGAACATTCACAGTGCAGGCTGGGTGAGGGACACTGGTTGCCACCAGACATCACTGGGCAAGGATGGCAGCAGTGGGAGTGTGTGTAGCTGCAGTGAGTTCTGGTTTCCTGGGAAAGCCGACAGCCTCTCTCAGCTGTCCAGGATGCTTTAATAATTGCTCCGAGCTAAGGCAACCCACTGAGTGACTCCAAGGCTTTCCTGGTATCCCAGCTGGGCAAAGGCTTTGAAGTGAAAGGAGAGGAGGCCTGGGCCAGGGGCTCCAGGAAGGGGCTGACCTCTCTGGGGCAGCCTTGCTGGGAGTGCTGCAGTCAGAATTCATGGAGGCCAGAGAGATGATAGACATCTGGCGGTAGGAACGCAGCATGGACCTGGGCCGACCCACTCTCCTGTCGTCGAAGTCAGGCTGTTGGTATGAGAAGAGTTGGTGAGCAGAGTTTCGGAATTTGAGCCCTCCTCCCACTCTGGACAGGGTGGAACTGTGGGCTGAGGGCACCAGTGCAAAGCTTCCAGTCAGCAGGGCCATAGGGCTGCTGGATAAGCACTGGCAGCCTCCATCCCAGGGGAACAATTGCTAGTCCAAGTTTCCCCATGTGACACGGCATCTGTATTATTCAGTGGCCTCATAGACCATCTTTCTTTATGCTAATGAGATGGCTTCAGTTGGAGCCTTCCCGTGCCAGAGAGACCAACCCTGTCATTACAGGGCTGAGACTTTGAGCCATATATTATCAACTCACCCGCCAAGGAGGAGGCAGGGGACAGGGATGGATCTCCAGCCCATGACCAATGATTCACTCAGTCTAGGCTATATAGTGAAAGACCTGATAAAACACTCCATGCTTAAGCTCTAGTGAGCTCCCTACTAGGTAATCACATACCAGTGTGCCAGAGGGTGATGTGTCCTGACAACATGAAAGTGTCATGTTTGGGACCCTTTCATACCCGCCCTGTGTGCTCTTTACCTAGCTCTGCTTAATTCGTATCATAGTCTGAAAGCATCAGTACAGAAACTCCTAAGTGAATGAGATCACATCCCAATAAGCCTGCTGTTAAGTTGAAAGTAGAATATGAAAATGTGTTAAATCTACCCAGACTGCCAAACATCCTAGCTAGGAACACCATACACCGTAGCACATTGGTGCTCACAACACAGTCAGTCTCTTCACCCTGTTTGAGAGGTGTGTGTAGGTATCCTAGCACTTTTCAAAAAGAGCTTGGTCACACAGCTCTAGCCCCCCAAATATCAAGACTTGGAGTACAAATTTCTACAGACTGCATAGTGCTTTAAAACCATCACAAAGCAGAAAAACTGTTGAGTCCCTGGGGTCAGGAGTTCTCGCAAATTACCAGGTCTGTAGGGAGGACGAGAGGCCCCAAATTTGTAGTCATTGCATGCAGAAGTGTGGGGCCTTACTCTTGGGGTCTGGAGTTGGTGGCCTGTATCTAAAGTAGGATGAAGGGCTGTTCTCAGACTGGGAGGTCTGGCCTAAATCCAAGTGTTTAGCATCTGAATTGCATTTCAGGAAAAGAGTGTGGAAAAGGTCAACTTGTTTCTGAATGGAGGAAAAGAGTCCTAGGTCCAGCTCTAGGCTCCTCCCTGAATGTCTGTAGATCAAGAGGGTTGGGGCAGACAGTTTTCAAGGCACACAGCTCTGACATTTGATGATTCTACTTTAGGTAAAAGGCAAGACTGTCTCTGAGAGTACTGGCTAGTGTCATCTTCAGGCTGTGGAGTACAGTGGCATTGGAGACACCACAGCTGGATGCACACCTTGCCTTTAACTTAACTTGCCATACAGCCTTTGGTAAGTTATTTGATGCCCCTGAATCTAAAAAGATACATAAGGACTTAAAAACATCCCTACCTACCTCTATCAGTCAGTTAACATACATCAACTGTATTTATAGGACAAGCACATGTTAGGTGCTCTATTAATGTAACTTTTATATTTATACAATCCCTTGGGTAGTTTCATAGATCTGACATATAGCTGGTTTCTCTTTAGGAGTGACTTTTGAGGGACCAGGAAGACTGGAAGGTTCCCTCATGTCAGTCCCTTCTAGCTTTTATTCCCCCACTCTTCCAGCTTCCCAGTCACAGGGATCACTCATACCATCTCTCGAACACCGTACTCCTTTTCCACCTTCATTTTCAGGTTCTTGAAACACTCCTCCATTCGGATATGGAAGGGCCGCAGGTTGTCCGACACCCTTTTCTCGTGGATCTTAATCCCAGCTCCCAGGAAGGGGATCTGCAGAGAGATGGTAAACAGTGGACCTTGCCTTGTGCACTAGCTCAAGAGCTCAAGATGGCCTGCTAGTTAGAGAGTTAAAGATGCTCAGAGACCAACACAGTCCCTGGGACAGCTGCAGCCTTAGAATTTGTCATCACGGGGACAATGACCCAGCCACTCTTGCTTCCTTGGA